GTTGTTTTCCTCAGTGCTCATTTGTGTATAGCAAGGCCATATGTGACTCTGTTGTCCTATAGAACACAAACCAATTTTCACTTACTCAGAAGCATGAATAAATTTTATAACATTCAGTCCTACACTGCAGGAGACAGAGCAAGTACACGCAACAGCAACAGCAACAGTACCTCTATTCCATGTATGCTTTTTAATCATGATTGCAATGGCAAGTATTATGTAAAACTCCTTAACAAAAAGGTGTAGCAAAAAGAAGAACTACCTTTGGACAAATCTAGTATTTAAGTCTCAAATATGCAAATACCCTTACATACTTCAATACTTCATCCTTAGAATTCACTTCCTTCAGACAACTACTTTACTGTCAGCATAAGAGATTTTCCTTGGATCATGTTCCAATGGAGCAATACAGAATTTAATCAATGGTTACAAGATGACTTTGCACAACGATGACATTGTTCTGGGGTCATTTGGGAGGGTTAGGGTTTGGGCTTGGTTTTGTTGGGTTGTTTTTTGGGGTGGGTTTTTTATCTGTTAAGCTGATCAAGTGATGCTTCAGTAAAGCCTGAAAAAGCTATGGAAACATTCTTGGCCCAAATGCCTTCTCTAATACTGTCTCTCATTCATTGGTGCTACATCTGAACTGTGGGGCAGATGGTGCTTCCTATGTTCTACATCTCTATGGTTTGCCCTGGTCACATCTTAATCCATGAGATATCAACACTTTTTCATGTAACCTTCTCTCTCCTCTTACTTTCAGGTTTTCACAGCAGAGACACCACAGCAGCTCTAGCTGCATACTCCATCTGGACATTCAAGAAACCTCTTGTGTCCAAAATTACATCTACTTCATATTCTAAACGTGGTCAGCATTGACTAGAAGGAACCACTGCTGCAGTTTCTAAAAACTTTAGTTGACTCCACAGGTCTGTTAAATCAATCAGACTTGCTTCAAGCCATAGATGTTTTGTGGACTAGTTAGGGCAGTAATCCCCAGCCTTTAAGACAGGTCAAGAACTATTTCCCAGAAGAAAAATATTCTAAGATTGAGAAACAGGAAGAATGACTAAAAATCAATGGTAAGTGACTGGAGAAGGAATGGTGAGTTTCAAGCACGAAGAAGGCATGAGAAATTTTTATATTTCAATTTATCTTTTCATCCTGTTTCTTAAAGTTCACAAAAGCTCCTTCAGACTTTGCTACCACCAAAGTCCAGCACAGAATGCAAACACAGAACCACCCAGGAATTACACCTGGGAGCATGTGTGAATGTGCAGATGGTAAGTGAAGCTGCTGCCTGACATGAAGTTCCAAATCAGTGTCTGCCTTATGCTTTGACCTCAACTGCAGCCTCTGGTCAGCAAATCAGGCTGTCAGCTGGATATTACCCCTCTTGGATGTATTTTGAGCTGACATCACATAAATATTTAGTCAGAGGGCTATGGTGTCACAGCCAATAGTGTGGCACATGTGTTTGTGCACCCCCATGTGTAGCTGTGTACACACACACACCCTCACATAAAATACACTGGGCCAGGTAACATGGGCTATAAAGCAGATGAGAGTTCCTGAATGCAAACATGTGTATTAAGTTGGTAGGTCATAAAATATCTTTGTAGCATTTTTTCCATTTCTGTATTATGAATAAAGCCAAATAATCATGGGTTGTAAAACAAAGTTTCTTCAGACTGGAGAATCTATTAAGTTAGTTTTAGCTTCCACTCTAAAAAGACTCTTTCAAAAAGCTTTTGTTGTTATGTTAATCTTGAAAGTGAAAAAGAATTGTTTGGACAAGCCTAGTAGTTTTAACTTCCTGTGGTCATGGATAACCTCAAGCAGTAGGTCTAGACAGAGACAAAGCTACAGAAATCTTCCTTTCAGACAAGTCTTGCTAATTCTAAGCACCAGCCCTTAGAAAATCTTTCCATGTTCTTTTCTTCTCAAAATACCTCCTGGGCAGGTATTATGAATTTTGACAGCTAAGAAGCATGAAAGAAATCCTCTTGTGAAGATGACAGTGTAAACCCATAATTATTTCTATTTTCACATCAACATCATGTTTCATCACCAGTATATTCCTTTTTTTTTTCTGTATCAGCCTCTTCAGTATTAGCAAAATGGGGATATTACATAACAACTCCTTAAGTATCAAATGTCAATACATTAATATTCACTAGAATCTGCAAAAAATCACTTGATGGCTGTAAGCCAAGCCCAGCCAGACTCTTGACTTCAGAGAATAACTCATTGACCAACCTTTTGTACAGAAACAGATAGATTGCCAGACCTGGATCAAACACTTGATCTCCACATTTCCTACAGCAAACATTTCATGCCACAGACACCATAGTACACAGCATAAAGCTTTGAGCTTTAAGGCATCTCATCTGGCTTAACCCTCAGTGAGCTTTTTGGACTAAATGGAAACAACAGTAGAGAGCAGACTGAGGAATTAGAGAAACACCATCACAAGCCCAGACAGTGTGTTACAGACATTTTGCAATGCATTTCACCAGCCTGAAGAAGGGATGTGGATGCTTAGCACATTTATCAAAAGACTTTTCCCCTACCATTCCATGCATACTCAGATCCAATGCCACTGGCTGCTTACTTATCCTTACTAGGGTTTTTCTTTTGTGCTGAAACACTGAGAACCAACTTTAATTCACAGAGATTTCAATTTTTTGGGCACTGTTTGTAAGAGAATCAGGGCTAGGTCAAGACTGAATACTTCAATGGTAATATCTAATTAAAAAAAAAACCCAAACACCCAATCCCTTTGCTATTAATTATTCTCACTTGGAAGTAGGTTCTAAAAGTAGGCCAGTAAGACAGTAACCCTAAGTAAATTAGGTACACTACACCTGAATTTGTAACAAAATAAAACACAGTTAGCAATACATGCAGACAACTGATTCCTTCAAAATTCAAAATTATTAATAATTTCTGGAAAAAAATCCCTTCACCATTAATTAATAGGTGTTAACTCCAATCTCATGGCATACTTGTAGCATCACTGAAACCATAGAGGTTTTAAGTCCTACCAAGGTTGCTGGAGAAAGCTAATAGAGTAATAGAGTATTAGGTATACCTAAGGCAGCTAAACCCACTGAAATTGTTGATCTCAACTCAACTGAAACATGTTGGGTTATAAACAAACAGGATGTTTCTGGCTGTGTCCTGCTGTGTAAAGAACATACAATGTGGGAGGAACTATCTCAGCAGCATCAAATAGGGTGCCAAATATCAACAGAGCTAAAATCAATGACATCTCCAGAGATTTTCCACAAGTGTCCAAAGGATTCCAAAGAAAGGGTTATGTATGCGATGAGAACATATAGAACGACGAGCAAAACTTACTGTGATCCAGTGAGGTGTTCCAGAACAAGGTTCAAACCAACCAAAAACAAGACACAACTGACTTTTAGAATCTAGGAATATGGACCTGCTCCTACTGAAATTCATGGCAAGTTTCCATCGATACCAGTTTTGTAGGAATGATCTCTAATACTGCAGTTTAATATCTAATCTATATTACTGTTATTTCTCTGCAAACTTCAACTTGGAACGAGGTAGCATGATATGAAAAGGGTGTTTTGTTTGCAAACTTGGAATGAAGTCTGGCTTGGACTAGGCTGCACAATAAAGAAGCCAGCAAAAGGGAATTTGACACTCACCATTCTGGCAGAACTCAAGTTTCTCAAAACTCGAAGATTAAAAATACTTTGAGACTGTTTTTTGAAATTAAAATCAAAAGGAAGAAAATATAAGTATTAAACTGTGCCAGACTGCTGAGGTCTTTGGTTAATGATCATTACCTTCTTCAAAGTCATTTGCAGCTAGTATAAAGCTGGTGCTTAAATGTACTGCAGAATTAAAAGAAGTCTCACTGGCTACAAAACAGAAAAGCTATGAATCCTTTATACTACTGTGTTACATCACAAACTATCTGTGAGATTTAACAAATCTTTTATTCCTTCTTCTTTCTGACCTATCACTGAATTAATTGGGAGTTTTCAATCCTTATTCAGCACAGAAATTATATATGTCCTCAACTTCACACTCCTGAGAAAACCCAAATCCTTATCTGGATTTGACTTTGTTGTAAATTATGTTAAGCATAAGCTGATGAGTGGACAGGCACTCTGGTGTTCTGCTGAACTAGGAACTTGACTTCTGCAGATGGGAAGGAGTCCCTCTGACCTCTTCTGTTCTCACAAATGCTAAATCATCAGTTTTATCAGGTCACAGTTATGTGCCTTCAGCTAATTAGGGATAACAGTCAATTGTGAGCAAGAGCTGTTATTTTGTCAAGACATTACTCAAAAATAGTGCATGTGGAGAGGAAAATGGACAGAGGCACAGCATGAATCAGATTCTTAGCCCACTACTATAGAATTAGCATGTTTTCAATTATTATTACCATAGACATGTATGGAGAAGATTAAGCAGATCAAAATGAAGCTTGGAAAGCATATTTGTGCTCAATTCAGCCAGATAGTAATGCTAGAAAATATTTATACTCCTGATTAACTTCATGCTAAGCGAGTTAATACTGTACATACGAAGTCTGAAATACAACTCTGGGTTGGAAATATCTGTTAATCAAATGAAGGACTATGGACATTAATGTTTTACTCATCCTACTTTAGCAATAGATCTTAGCCATGACTTGGCAATTCAGTGATCATGACGTCTTTGATCTGTTTCCTGACCTGTCAAATCATATCAGTCAAAACAAAGTGGGAGAAAGGCTCTTTGAATGCAGTGGATGCTCATTCAAGCCAAACTGAGAGGAAGTCATCAAGTCCATTTCTGAAAACTTCTCTTTTGATTGCCACTGATCAAGGAGAGAGCAAATTCAATGCCCTAAAGGCAGAAGGATCTACTGCATACTAATAATTCCTTGCGTCAGTTAACACACTGTAGTTTATTTATTCCCCAACAGTGTCCTAAAAATGAGAAGACAGTGCTGCTTAACAATAAAATATTTCCTCCTGTTAATTGGTGATGTAATTTTCCAAGTGAAAGTCAGCAGATCCTAGCAATTCACTACAAAGTAAAAACAAAACCTTTACCCTAATAAAGAGGATCTTCTCTCCAACTCTGTATCTTCCCTGTGAAAGACGTTCCACACAGAACTTATTAGGGCATTTACAAGGTGGATCTTCAGAAATGTGTTTAACCTAGAAAACACAGATGTTATTAATAGAAACTGTGTACAATACCATGTGCAGCAAACCATTCAGTAAGACATTTGTCAGAACATATCACTAATGCAAGTCTTAATTGATGATATTTCTCTTTTTTTCCTCATGTTCTTAACATTTCTGTAAGCCCTATGGTGCTTCCAATATCAGCAATGATTTAGGGGCTGAGGTAAGTTAAAAACAGAGATGTGTAACACAGTTCAACACCAAATCTGCATTGTTTAACTGAAGCCAAACAGTTTGTTACTCTGAGTTCAGCATCAAACTTTAGTGGACATGTTCTCAGTATTTGATGCTGAATCAGCTCAAAGTTCTAGTATAGCTAACAGGCAAAATGAAAATGTCATAATGATGCATTCTCCCTGCTAAATATATGTAATAAATACACAAGCATCTTGCTGATTAACAAGAGGCCCTGCCCTTTTCAAACTGTGCACTGACGCCTTAAAAAAAGACAGGTTGATTCCATGATTCTGTATGAAATCAGTGGCTGATGCCTTGAGTCCAAGCACAGGTTGCTGAGGATGAAAAAGGTGCATTGCTGGATCTCTTGGAATGTGGCACCAAGGCTGGGATTGTGCTTAGGGGGCTGTTTGGCCCTCTGAATGCCTTGGGATAATCAGGAATTTCTGACATAATATCCTGTGGCATTTATCACCTCTGGAGACACTTGAAATTTGAAGCTGGCAATGGATAGTGTGAACTATCAGATGCAGCCTTAATGCTGTGTCTACCAGAGTTCCTCTTAGCAGCAAAAATCCAGGCTTGGCTTTTGCTTGCTAAGCCAGGCCCAACATGCTCAAGGTTGTTTTGAACTGTATAAGCAAAATAGAGCCATCTTCAGCCTGTGGAGAATGAAAGTCAACAGATTTATACTGGTGTAAAACAGAGGATAATAAGACCTTTACTGCTGATCCTGCTATTGAGGCTTCCATTGCCTTACTATCCCAAAGGACACAGAAGTATTATATTGAGTGGAATTTGGAAATCAAATAAGGAAGCAGAGGAAAGAATTATATTCTATTTTATTTTGTGTCTGGACTATATAAGCACTGCTGCTATTTTATGGTGTGAGTGTCTGGGGCAGTGAGGGTCAGGAATCTAGCTGGATGAATTCCATTCTGTTTCTAGCCCTACTGCTTTCTAAATTAAAGGAGGTGGTTGGAGACAACCTTCATACTCTGTTCTGCTTCTACAAGATATGCAGTCACCATTCTCCTTCTATACATTCTTCCTCAATTCTGTCGAAATGCAAGTGCTTTTGCAAAGTGAAGGAAGAAATACAAAACATTAAAAAAATTGTTCAATGTAATGATATACATCAAATAAAAAAAAGGGTTTCAATAAAACGCACGAACATTATATTCCATCTGCTCTTTGTAAGAGAAAAGTGGCACATGGATTTTTCAAGTGCTTTGTAACTCCCAGGTGGCACATCTACCTTGCAATGGAGCAGTTACTATGGCAACTGCTTCTTTTTACAGGCTAGTTTTGTACTTTGCAAGTTTAACCTCTTCATGGTCTCAAAATGTGTCCTTTTCATCTGATTCCAGCTGGTTCAAATGAACCCCTATGGGTTTGCAACAGAGAAATGAACACTCAGTATGCTGCGACGAGTTTAATGAATGTCAAAGCAAGATACTTTTGTTCCAACAATGAGGACAACAATGCTTGTTTGGGTTTTTTTATCACGTGAGAAACATGCAGAGCAACAGCATAAAAATTAGGCTGAGCTATCTGAGAAGTGTTTGTTAAAATTCAGTACAAGTCAGTATGGGCCAAATCTGCTAGTCCTGACTCAGTCCTTCCTCAGACAAAGCACCAAGTGGGAGTTGGTGACTAAGAAGCAAAGGAGCAGCAAGAAGGGAACGTGGCCCTAAGCACAAAGCTAGGCTAAGCTGCAGAGCTCCTACACACTGTGATTTCTTCTTTTTTTTAACATGCTTCAGGCATAAATAATCGTGGTCAAAAAGAAATTAACTCTGTCAGCCTGCAAAGGTTTAAAACACAGTGAGATGTTAAACTCAGGCTTGTGTGTGCTTTGCAAGTGCATACCAGAATGGATCAGATAGGAAAAAGCTTCCTGCACAACTTACAGCATCGTCCAACAGTTTCCCTGTGCTCTTTTTCCCAGGAGATTTTGTTGGTGATGGTGAAGGAGATGGAAGGGGAGCTGAAAGTGTTTCCTCTTGTTCAATCTCTTTTTCCAGCTTTATTAATCCAGGAGGTTCCACCCCAAACCTTTTGGAAACATGCAAATAAATTACTTACCAAGTATGACATCTTTTAAAATAAAACAGTGGGAAGAATTCCTATTTTCTGTATTGCACTACCATGCAAAATCAGAATGGCACATGCTTTAGTAAACGTGTATAAAATACATCAATCATTAATGCCATCATTCCAAATTAATAGGAAAAATGAATTTAGATGGAGTCTCAGTTAATCAGGTTTACTGGAAAAACAGAGGCTTTTCTAACTTCTCTGTCTGGTAACACAGGTTGGTGAATAACTAATTTATGGACAACACTAGACCTCAAAAATTGCTATAGCATACAGGAGAGAGGGAAGTTCAGCACATTTGCTTTCTACTTTCCTTTCTGAATAACATCCTTTCAAATTACTTGACAATCTATAGTTTGTGTAGGTATTTTTCAAAGAAATCCAGATGAAAAGGGATTAGAGGTTATCCTGGTCTCAGCTATTGCACTGAATTTATAGGTAAAGAAATGGAAACATGGCTAATATTTTTCAGAAGTGGCTAGTGCTTTTTCTAACTGATTTTTGACAGCCAAACTTCAGATCTCTGTTTAGGGTAGCAAAACACTTGCAGCTCCAGCTAAAACAAAATATATGCATCTTCAGCATGGAGCAAGACAAACAGAGCACTTGGAGCTCTTTTTGAAAGGGCTTTCGAAAGCTTTATGGCAAGTGACTGAGTCAATATCTCACAGCAAGCAGAGCTTGGACAGATGTCAGAAATCTAAAAAAGCCCATCCCATTTTCCTAATGATTGCTAATTCCCTTCTGTTTTTTTATTTGCCAACCCTGAACAAAACCCAGAAAAATAGAGTTTCTTTATCAGAGAAGGACTTCAGCATGGAGAAGTTACCATGCCAGGTAGGCTTCTCATAGCAAACTGCTTGCATAAATAAAACCACATTTCCTTATATAATAGAAAAGTCCATAGCTCAGATGCAGAACTATACTGACTTATCTAGGTAAAGATCTGGACACTAAAATACTGAGCAGTAACAAATACATACTAGGAAAATCTAAGCTAAATACCATAAGACTGTTAGAAGTGTTCAGAGAAAAGGCATAAGCACATACACTAGCTTTTGTGTTTTTCTGATAACTTTACATTAAAAGTCACACTACTGCCTAGTAAATTAATATCAAGAAAACCAAGAACCAAATCTCTGCTTGTATTGGCTTCTAACTGGTGCAGTCTGCCTAATGAAAAGTCAGCCAACACTGAAGCAAGCACTTATATCCAATCCATTTACTTCCTGTCTGTCTGCAGATGCTGACAGGCTGTAAATCATTAAATTCCCACTGGGCTCTAAGCCTACTCCTGCACACAGCCTTACTCATCAAATCAAACTCTTCCACCCTAAGCAATGCTGCTCCTTTGCTTCTACTGCTTTTCATAATCTCCAGTCTTTTGTCTTTGGGACAAAGCACTTCCAATGTACTTCCAGAATTCTGAATTCCTCCAGTGAAAACTTGAAAAATAAAATCAATGGACAAACAAAGACACTTGTACTATCAGGCACGTCTTGTATGAACCTGAGGCAAAGCTGTTGGAAAGCTGAAATTGTAAAAATCATATCTTTTCTGGGAGGGGCTGAGGTGCAAATTCTGTTCAGGAAGGTATGCTGAGAATTTCCTTTTCTGCTCCTTTCTAGCCTGGCTTCTCACAAATACAAATGAAGCAGCACTGGACTGTAACATGATCTCTGATAGACTTAGAGCACCACTTTGCATTTTTACCAAAGTAAAATTGAATAAAATAGCAGAAAGATCTTGAAATTGCTCAACAGTAATTCCAAAAGACCTGTGGGTGTTGTTTAACCCTCAGAGTTTAATAGTTACCCAAGAACTTCCTTCTTTGTCCAGGAAAGATAATTTAGCTGTATTCCATTGTATAAACTCTGACTTTCAAATACTTTGGGAGAATGTTGGACCTGTGCAATACACTGACATAGTCCTGTGTATCATCAATGCTCAATTTTATCCTTTAGGACACTTCCCCCTCTCATAAATCTTCTCCCTGTATCCATGTGACATCTGCCAGTGCACACAAGCACCCATTTCACTATTGAAATTTTGCAGATTATCTCAGAATTTTGTTTTCATAGACAACTGAAATCCAGGATAATTTATTAGGCAACTCTATCTTTATTAGTAACTGGGTTTTGACCTGCCACTCTTTGAGCCAAGTGATCACACCAGTTTCCCACTCACTGTGCAGTTCATCCCTCAAGTCCATCTGTCTCTAATTTGGCTAAAAGGACACTATGAGATAACATGCTAAAAGCATTGCTGAAGAGCCTACAAGGAGCTGGAGAGGGACTCTTTGTTAGGAACTGCAGTGATAGGACAAGGGGTAATGGGTTCAAACTGAAGGAGGGGAAGTTTCAGTCAGATATTAGAAAAAAGATTTCCCTGTGAGGGTGGTGAGACACTGTCCCAGGTTGCCCAGGGAGGCTGTGGCTGCCCCAGCCCTGGTGGTGTTCAATCCAGGCTGGATGAGCCTTGAGCAACCTGATCTAGTGAGGAGCTGTCCCTGCCCAGGACTAGAAGATATGTACGGTCCATTCCAACCTTGAAATTCTATGATTCTATGAAAATACTTTCTTATTCATGGGAAGGTAATTTTTTTTCCCATGTTGGACTGAATCCAAGTTGTAGAGATAACAAAATTCCTGAAAACTGGAAATCAGCTATTTCCCTGGCCACTGCTGTTCCTATGCAAACTTCCACTGACAGCAACTGAAACATGACCAAGAGAATACTAGTTGAGCAGCTTCCCATCTGAGTTCATTCACAAAATATGAATACACTTAACTCAATTATAACATGACCAATACTAGTTCTTAAATGAGGAATGAACAGGGATCTCCTTGACACTGACTGTAACCACAAGGAGTTCTCAAATTGACAAAACTGTGAATCACAAGGCACTCCAATTCTATATACATGGATGAATGCAGCAGCAATTTGCATGCAAGACTGGGCAGCAGCACTGCTGTTCATACATTTTTTAGCAAATCTTATGCACTATACTGGTTAAATCTGCATCTGCAAAAAGGGGAAAATCACATTCCAGTTACTGTCATTTTGATTGTCTAGCAAATGTCACTGTTGCCTTGATGTCAAAGATAACATTACAATGTACTGAAGGTCCAGCCTTGTGAGGTTTTGGAAACGTGAAAATCAATTTATTGCCAGTAAAGTTACTTAAATCTCAGTTGTTTATACAGAGATCTGACTGTTCAAAGCTTTAATTAGGAAAAAAAAATCTCAACTCTTTGCCCTCCTAATACGAGAAGAGCCAACAAACATCTTCACTGAGGTGATGGTACAGAGATTTTATTGTATTAACAACTGCCCTCAAGATATCCTTGAGTGACATCAAGACAAGCACTCCTGGACCCTAATGAGCACAGAATTTAGCTTCTGATGTGCTGATTTAGTAAAACTCTCAATAGCCACTGCTGTCAAGAATGTAAATATTTCATCATTCTTGAAATAGTTTCACCTACCTTGCTGCAATCCTTCCAAGTTCCAGCAAACAAAGGCACACTTCTCTTGGCTGCTTGTGCAGTACTGGAAAGGCAAAATGAAGATGGAAAACATTTATAAATAAAAGCTATTTTAAAGATTTTAGTGATGGAATGGAACCTAATCATCAACATCTGTAACTCTTGACTCGGATAAAACTTAGTTTTCTTTGGCTTGCAGTGGAGCTTTACTGGAATAAAAAGGATAGGATTGAGGAGTGGTGCAGACGATTTAGGAAGTTCCATTTAGTTATTTAAATAACTGAGTCATTACTTGAGCTAATTGGCAATCTGCAAGCAGTTCAGAACTATTTAAAAATAATCAAGAGCTCTGGCAGAACCCTGAAATTAGCATAATGTCAAAACTAAACTAATAACATCAGAGTTATTAAAGATACTTTTCTTTCTACAAACTAAGAGAATTCATATCCTTTAGATCACTGTGTTTCTTAGGCAATCTAAGTCACAAAAATAACAAAATTGCATTAGCAAAGATATATCTTACTATAAATTTGGTTCTGAGTTTTTTATACATCTACTCTTAAAGCAAATGTGAACTAGAATGCTTTAGGGATTCAGTTCATCATAGGAAAAAAATCCCAAAGAAACAAAAATGTTTCTTCTCTATACATGTATACATATATGCAAGTTTTCATGCCTGAACTCCACACAGAACATGTAATTTTTTAGCTTCAGAAGCAGCTGTGACACAGCCTGAACTTCTATTATGAAATACCACAATAATCCAATATAATTTCCCCCCATTCAGATAAATGTCCTGTAAAGAAGTTCAGCAAGGCATATAAGCAAAATCCAGAATCAATAAATCAAGAAAGGTCTGTGGCTGTTTGCATAATTAACTGCCCCAAGCTCAAAAAAAAAGAAAGTAAAAATAGAAGAGAATAAAGCAATTATGAGTACACTGTCACCTACTCTCCAGAAATACCTATTGCTGTAAAACCCTCAGGTTGTGGATAAAAAAAAATCAGGTTTTCAAAGTCTTCATAATAATCACAAGATTTGCGCTTTACACTTCAGATTGAATTGACACCAAAAAGTAATTGTGTGAATATTTGTATAAATCAGGAAAAAAAATAAATAAACAAACAGCATGAAAATTGATTTGCTTTTAATAAGTTAGGGTCAAGACATCAGCTGCATAAACATTTGGTAATCTAAAGACTCACCTAACCCAAATGCATGAAGAAAAAAATAGCATACCTGAAAAAGATATTTCAATGTCTAGTTAAAGCTCTGAAGGTAATTACTTTGTCCTATACTGTATGTATGAGATCCAAAACAGGAATGCACAGACTCAGACATCTCTAAATAACCTACACCCTGGGGCAAACCTTCAGCTTCTGCAACTTCACCCTCCAGCTCTGCTGACATGAGTAAATGTCTGGTGAGTGTTGCTAGTTGAATGCTCATCCCAATAACTTTTCCTAGTGTCTGTGTAGCCCTTTGAGTTGCATTCATTCTTTCTCTCTAATCTCAGCAAAACAGATTTCCAGAAGTGAAACTGCAGAGCATGAAAACTAAAATGGCACTGCCCTAGGAAAAATATTTTCCTCCTTCAGCCTTCTGTTACTAAGAATGTAAACAATGCAAACTTGGACATTCCTCTGTTCTCAATATTCTTCACTGCCACAACACTAATTTCATTAAACATTTCCCATTACTTGCAATCAGTATTTTTAAAATGTTTAATTCATGACTCTAGAAATTCATTCTGCTGCTTTGGTTTTAAACCAGTTGGGATTCCCCCAAAGTAACACTAGATTTTAAGAAATAAGGCATCCCCGTCCCAAAATAAAACTAGATTTTAAGAAATAAGGCATCCCCCAAAATGTAAATGGAATAAACTAGGTGTGAAATAGTCAAAGGGAGGCAAATATTTCTGAATTGCATTTCATACATTTGCACATCTGAATGACTTTGGAAGGGAGGAAAAAAAGGGAAGATCAACTGCTATATGCAAAAAGATCCATAATATAACTGGAAGAGAATTTGAATAAAAATGTAAAACATTTTTCTGTCGATGCTCTACCCAAACAAAATTCCAAGTCCTTTAGCAAATCTGACTCAACATACCCTAGACACATTTCATGCATTTCACACTGAACAATGTGACACAGTGAAATCATTGTTAGAGGATGAAGAACTGTGCAGGCAATAACCAACCACAAAAACAAACAGCTGGTCATCTGATAAGATGGTGACACAAGTGCTTCTAGCAAGAAAATGTTAGCATTCCTGAGGACTATACAGCATATGTGTTTGGGGGCTTCAGAGACAAACAAATGCTATTTTGTACACTGCTGTACCTCTAGGTGACAAGAAAAGTTGAGAGATGTATCATAACAACTAGCCCAGCCAGGCTTAATTCTAGCCCAAAGTGCTTCACTTTGCATCATGAATACAATTTTTGTATGCAATTTACTATAATTTTTCAAGCTTTCATCTAGGGAAGAAAACATTATTCCTAAACAATCATTGTCCAGTCTCCCCTGTCAAGCCCTAGCAAGGTGAATTGTCTGAGGAGGTGATTATAAGCAAGTGGGAATTTGTAAATACACAAGACACATACACTATGCAGATCTACTGCATCAGGTGAATGGAAGTGCCTGTCTTGCTAGAGAATCTCACTGATGACATTTGCTTGACAAGAACACAATGTGAAGCTTCAGAAATTGCTTATTTTAGGTGTCCTGACAATTCCAGACCCTTTTACTTTCCAGCTCATCTCTTCAAATACTTCTTACCCACTGTCCTCACTGCCTGCATCTTTCAAGCTGCCTCCAGCCACTCTTTTTAAATAATAATTGCTTTTCAGCTCCCAGCAAGCTTTTATTCCTGCTTCTCTCTGGCAATAACTTTTCTCCACACTTCTTCCACCTTGTTGCTGCCCCATTGTCCTTGTACAGGTTTTCCTCTTCAGTTCACTCACCCTTTGTGCTCCATCCATGTACTTCCATTTCTTTGCTACCTACTGCTCACCAAATTTCCTCAGCCTTCAGTGCTCCCTTCCCCAGTGCTTGGATGCTACCAGGAGAAGCAGAGAAGGAACAGCCTCTGCTTCCAGTGCTATAGAACCTGGGGCTGTGAGGAGAGAGAACACACACTGCACTGGAGCCCACGTGTTTGCTGAGCACATTGAACTGAGAGTTCACAATAACAAACACTGAGGTTTTTTGTTTTGTTTGTGGTTTTGTGTTTGCTTTTTTAAAATTAGCAGAATGCCCAGCCACGATACAGGAATGAACTTCTCACACCTTCCTGCCAAGTTTCAAATCTTGGCTCCTAACATCTTTATAAATAATCTTAGTGAAGTCAGCCTGTCTTCAAACATAAGCTACATTTTTAAATTTTAATTTTTAAAGGTATCAGGCATAGCTGAATCAAATGAATTGAACATGATTTCTGTTTTTAAAGCATGTTTTAGCTCACTACAAGTGAAGAGTTTTCCAAAGTGGCTTAGTAGTTATTATCATAGCCTTCTAATTGCCATCAGAATTCACACCAGTTTAGGGAAAGTTTTCCAAAAGGTTGGTCCTTTGATCCTCCTCCTATGGTCTCTCAATTTCTCCTTAATACCTCTTACTCTGAACCTACAGCAGCTTTTTTTGGGTTGGTTGGCTGGGTTTTTTTGGCTAAACATTGCTTTGTCAACACCATTCAATTTATCCCAAACACATCCTTGCTGCTGCATCAGAGTTATCCTGTAACATGCTTAAATCAAGGAGCTGTTTCCTCCCACCCCCAAACCATTTCAGCACTATCACTTATGGAAGTTTCAAAACAATTGAGGTGTCAAACACAGGAGATCTAGGGATGGTAAAGAATTAATCTAGAAGGAATACAGAGATCATCTAAACACTAATAATTTACTGGAATTCATTAATTTAAGATGCAAATCCAATGGTAATAACACAATGTCCAGAATGCTTCTATAGTCCTCAAAACAAGACATATTCAATAATATTATGAGTTGTTTAGTAAAGTGTTGTGAAAGATGGGACAAAAACCTTATTCTGATGCAACTTCATGTAAATTTTAGCATGTTATGTGAACATGTCAGTGTAAAAGAATGGACATAACGCTTCCATCTTGTAGTGTGAAATCAGATAAACTAGAGTATTAATTAGAACAATCATTTGCCCTGGGCATAAGGTATATTTAAGCAATCAACATTTGAGGTTTTTTTTTAAAAAAACCCTTTAAACCAACAATGTTAGACTTAAACACCTCTAATCTATATTCTATTACCTTCACTGAAACACTTGATGCTTTTGTTTAGGGAACTTGCCCATTAAACTCCAATCAGTTGCATCAAAAGAAGACCATGTCTCATACTGTGTGTACACACTCACAGAATATACAAGCACAAAACATGAATACATCAACAGCATCCACCAACTCCCCAAACAACTGACACACAGCAGCATGCTGGCACACTCGGTGGCAAACCCTTTTCTTGCTGGGTGGACTTTATCAGGGAAGAGATGCAGAATATTCACTGGCTCCAAATCCTATAATCATCCAACAACACTACATTACCACAGAGAGTTCAGAACTTATGCTTTAAGATCACTTAACTAAAGCAATCACAGGAAATCTTACCATTCTTACTATTTGGCCAAGAAGAGTTTTCTTCGAGTATTAGACTCTTCAGGCTTGAGCACGACAATTGCAATATCTCCACCTAGAATGCTTCCATAAATAAAATTACTATAGCTGTATGGATCTGCTCCCCCAAAATCTATGAAGGGGAACTTAGAAATTATACATATCATGGGAACAGAGGATTTACAGACAGTATTACTGTTCTTACACTGCAAAGAATAGTGTGTCACATTCTCAGTCCTACATAGGGGACAAATTTTGACCTCTGATACATCTACAAACACCATTCAAAGACAGTGTATCTCAAGAGTTGCCCAAATAATCAAAGTTTGGACTTAGGATTGTACTCTTTAGTATTAACAAAACTAATTCCTTCTTCCTGAAATACACCAAGTGTAAAAATAAAGAAACTGATAAACATGCTGTGTTGGTCAGAGAGTGCAGGGAGCATGCACAGTCTCCCTCTACTTTGTAGGATTCAAGATTATCCCCGTGTACTTTGTTGTTGTAATTTTTACAGATCCTCATGTCTTTTCTGCAGCTCACACAGCAGATATACCACCCACCTTTTCTTTGCAAAGGCATTAACTCTGAGACTCTCCTGCTGTGTCTCTGTGTCAGGTCCAGAGGGTAAATAAGAGAGAGACTGCTACCAATCTCAGCTCTGGCTGTGTTATAAATCTCAACAGAAAACTGGATTTCCCATTTATTTTCATTTTAACCTAAGTTAAAGCATGATAACCTTCAGCAAGACAAAATACATCACATTATAGACTACTAACACTAGTTGGTAGTACAAATGCATTGTCTTCAAACTTTGTATTGTTGTCTTTCAATGATTAGAAGGCACAATCCTATCTACCAGCACAGCAAGCACCTCTCTATTTCCCCCTCTACTTGTTTTTCCTTCTACTTATTTTGAAGAAAGACTTTGATCACATTTCCTTGGTTAGCTCAGCTGAATAGCCCACATCCAACAAAGCATGTGAACCCATGCTTAACTTCAAATAACTGCATGAATTACTGAGTTAGTCCACAATGAAGGACAAGAACAAAGTGACATGAGCAGGTCTGTTCACCTGCTGGTCTGGATCAGCCCTAGAATGTTAACCCTTTGCAGGACCAAACCTCTAGGAATACTCAAGATTCCCATTAACATCATTTCCCTGCACACTCATCAGGCATGGACAGCCCCTATCCATAGTGTCTGTTTGACACAGCTCCATTCCAGTGAGGAATACCTTCCTATCACTTCAGCCTGAGTGCTAGAAAGCTGGGAGTGTTGGATGCATTTGTGTGCAGCTCTATTTGCATGACTTCAAAGGCTTCAGAACTCATCATGATGGGAACACATTTTTAAGGAACGAGAAATAATAGCAGTTAATGACTTTTTTAGCTAGTATAGATTTCTTTGGCTGATTCTCTAATCAACTCGTTACTTCTAAAAAAAGTAAATCAATAGTGCCATAAATACATCATTCAAATATTTCAGTGCACTCTATCTTCAGAACTGCTCTTATGTTAGAATACAAATTTGTCAGAAAAAAGACCTCAGGAATGTTTCATGTGATACAGTGGCATGAAGAATATATCACTATGTGCATCTAATTAAATAATACAGTATTTCCATCCAGTAAGGCAGGCAGAATAGAGTAAAAGAAGTGGATAAAAATCTAGTTCACTAAGAACATTGACACAGCAAGTTCCTCCAATACAGACAGAAAACAGTTGCTTTATCACTAGGAATTTACACAGTTTATTAGCCATGGGGCAAAACAGAAGAAAACACAAAACCCAGTTATCTCTACAACCATAATTTCACCATGATTATTTATTACAAAACACACAGAATTCCACAATGCAGTGAGAACACTTAGATGTCATTCACAGATGTTCCTCACTACTTTGAAAAGAACCTTTGATATTACTTACCTCTGCTAACTTTTTATTTCCTATGCAGTGGCAAAGAGATTTGTGGGAGAGAGAGGAACATAGAAGCTTTAGATTGGCAACTGTTATGATTTATCATTATTTCTGATGCATTAAAAATACTTTAAGTGAAATCAAAACTTTGAGTTATAGCTCAAACCAGCTAAGAATAGTAGCTACTGGATTTATCTTTTTTTTTTTTTTGGTCACCATCTCCTACTCAAGTTCACAGAAAGAGGTCAAAATATGATCAAGTCCTAATCTTATTTCCAGCATCATAAAGTTTTTCTACTAATACATTCTATAATAAGAGAAGGAAAACAGAACTTAGCTTTTAATCAGCAAAGAAAATAAGTCAGTAATGAGACAAATCTGACAGAGCAGAGGTTTGAGCACTGTGTATTCAGTTTTCTGAGAGAGGAAGTTCTCTTGACCACCAGCCATCCAGGCATGTTTGCACTCAGTGTTGTACCGTGGCAGGCAAGGCACTGTGTGTGTGTGTGTGTGTGAAAATTAACTTACCAGAAAGTGTCAGTATTCCAGCTATGCCAATTCCATCTCTCAACAAGATCTAGCTTTTTCACAATGCACTAGAAAATTCCTTATAAACATGCTATGAATACACACCTAACTTATTATTGGAACCATGGTTAAACAGCTGGGCTCAACACAGCTGTACAAACTCTAAATACATCTAAGTGTTCCATTAACCACAGGTTCTTCTGCCTACCTCAGGCACTGGAGGTTTGTGTCTCCTTCTGGTGTTTATAAGTTTCTTGGTCCTAGGCAATGTCCAACTTCTCCATCATTTCAAATCATTGAAACTACAATTATCACTCATCTTCCATTTGATTTACCGTATCAAATAAAAATTTCGTCTTGAGGATTTAATTAACAAAACAGAGTCATTACATATATCCTCCTTACTATTTGTCACCTTTGTGATACTAATTTCTCCTCTGCCATTTTCTCCTGGACATATAAAATACTGAAAATAGAAAACTTCGCAGGATAAAAGAACAGACAAATGAAAAAAAGAAATTGCCTGGGAAATATTTGTGCTAGACTATAGAAGTAGAGCAAGACTGTAAAAGAAGGAGAATAGATCAGTCACAACACAGATAAGAACATCAATGGGACAGTCAAAGACTTTTTGAGCAGCAGAACAAAGAAGCCTCTTGATTCAGTACAGTGTGTTCATCTGTCTTCCATAGAAACTGATCTGTCACAACTGCTTTACACTTTTATCTGAGTTCACATAAAAAAGATTTGACCCTCTTAATTTCATGAGATTTGGCTGAAAAACTCTAGGCAAGATTCACAAGTTTTCCTTTGAAGAGAGAAGAGTTAAAACAGTGAAGAATATGTAGTATTAGAACAGCAATTTCCCAAGCAGTCCAATTCTTTTGATGGAACACCATGAAGCACCAATGTTGGATAGTTTTTGTCCTGAGCTGCACAAGGGAAACAGCTGGAAAAAACAGTCAGCATAGGAAGCAGAAAAATTTTGTGTCTTGCCTCCTGTGCAACTCATTATATCTGCAGAAATAGCCAAATGTCTGCAGCCAGAACTGAGTATTTGTATCCTACTCTCCCAAAACAGAAAAGCACCATCTTATACACTGAACTAAGGAACAGCATTCCATGCCCAAAAAAGAAGTGTGTGCAGGGTGAAAAATCATCTGCATGCAAGAAATCACAGCATGATTTTTCTCTCATTTAAGTGCCTCTTAAAACTGACTTAAATGAATTTTATGCAATATGTACTTTATCTGTTCATTCTTCAGATGAGAGGCAGAATCAACAGCCAGACACAGGTCAGATTTGGAGTCAGGATCTATTAAGAGCCATTCTGTCTTTTAAGGCAAAACACGGAAGAAAAGTTATTTAAAATCACTAGTACTACATAAAGAAATACATACCCAAACCTTCTGATTCAAACAGGCAGGTATCATCCACACCTACATCTCTGCACCAGGATAAGAAATTTGCTGTGTTGTCTCGTGCAAAAAAAGACCCTGAAGGAGCATTGGCTTTGCATGGAATCTTCCGAACTGGTAAGGTCTGAGGAAAAAAAACCAAACCAGAAGTTCTCTATTTAGAGATATGACACATCTTAGCATAATGCTTAAGTGTTATGAAATCATCACACAGGTTTTGCATAGATGGGTGACTGCCACCAACATATTGCCTTGGCCACCAAAGAATCCCAAGCAAAGAAGGATGAGAAGGGAATTTAGGAGCATGAAGTTATCAACCACAAAGTCTTTCCAACAGCATCATTATAGACCACATGACGTCAAGTTGAGAACTGAACCAATATTAGCTATTTTGTAGGAGTATTAGCAACTACAGTTTTGGAATCTAGTGTTTGGTCCAGCTCACTGACTTAACCAAAAAAAAAAAAAAAAGGGAAGAAACAAACACTTTATAAAGACAGACTTTAAACTAAGAACTGAACTGTCCCACAATTAAGGGTGAATTGCTTTCAGGTCTAAGTTAGAAGGGAATGATAGTGTAAACCAATGGGCCTTGAGGCCCAAACACTACAAACACTTCAGAAAGGCAACTGTCTCATGTTTAACACCACACTGAAACCTCCTGTGCACAGCACAGAAATGTCAATGTAGCAGCTACAAGGTCGAGGTCTAACTAACACAGAGACAGGCTCTCTACCAGAGCAGTTCTACTTGCATGGTATCACTATCAGAGAGGGCACTACTGGTGCAGCATCAGCATCTGAGCCAAACACAGTAATTACCACAGCAAGATTTTTGCTTGTATTGGGTGCATTTACTGAGACACAAAGAACATGTTAGCATTTAGCTCTCATTTAAGCTTTCTTTTCTTCACACAAAAAAATAGCTGTAATTCATGGCAAAATGAAATCAAAAGGAAACATTGTTCTGTAACTTTAGAAATCTCTAAATCATGGAGGAATTCAGACCTGACGTGGGTTTGAATGTGCTGCTTTTCCAATGATGATTTATGAAATATTTGCTTCCATTCTGGAGTCAGTAGTTACTCAATAGAAAGTGAGCTAAGAGGCAGAAAACTGAAAATATGGTGTCTTTACCTGTTCCTAGCTCTATTTCCAAATTTCTGCTTTTGACAGTTAAAAACATTATGCTGAAAATGTGGAAAGGGGAAAAAAAAAAGACACAGAACTAGGCTGCCCCTTAAAACAGCTTCTAGTAGCATAATTAGCACTGTGACAGGAAGAAGATGACAAGAAGCCAGGTCCAGTACTCCTGGAATTTACAGACTTGTGCATAAGGTACTGTGAAGAGCATGGAAAGGAGATAAGCTACAGTTGCTTTACATGTGAGAACAGACCTGCAGTGTCAAATCATGTCCCCTCCCAGCTCACTGTCCAGCACTCATCTCTGGCTTTTCCAGTGTCCATGTGTTACACTGCTCTCAGCCTTGCCTTTGAAGAAAACTCATGAGTCTTCTCTCCAAGACAGAAACTGTTTCTGAAGCCAGGAACAGCTCTGAAGGGCATCACAGGTGAAATCATACCCTGTTTATTTACTTCCACTCAGTGCTCCAACTCCAGATGATTCTGTGCCTTTTAAACTGCTTTTTTTTTTTTCCCCTGGCACAACCCCTGATATATATTCTCTATTCTTTCATGTCCTGCTAAGGGTATTAAACACTGCTCTGGAAGTCTGCGATAAACCCTTCACATTCTTTCAGAACATTTGAACAAAACAGCACAAAAAATAGAATTACTGTGCTGTATGACTGGTGGCTGCCATCTGACAATCAGAGGAGACTTGAGCTCTCCATCTGCTCTGCTTGGCCCTCAGCCCACCAGGCATGAGCAAGCCTGGAGCACTGGTCCTGAGGACCAGAAGCTGCTCCTTGGCACAGATGCCTTCAGCAGTCCAAAAGCAGCTCAAAGTGAGGAGGGAGCCAAGGAGAACCTACACTGCCTTTCTTTTGAGGAGCCATGGGGAAGGCACTGCAATGCCTGGCAGGGCCTAGTTTTCCCCTGGGCCACTGCTGCTCCCCAGTACTACCAACATGTTAATAAATCTGGTTCTAAATATTTTATGCCTTTTGATTTAGGTATATTGTAATGACTGAATATAGAATTGCTTTCAAGAAAAGCAATGCAGAACAGATGGTTTATGTGTCAGAAATCTCTGCAGTTCGAGTCAGCAAATAAACCATCTGAAATTTCATGCACGTAACACACTATCCATAAATTACACTTCCATACCTTGACAACTAAGACAGACCTTTAAACACATCAGTCAACCTAGCCTGACTATGAAGCTTAGACATTTGTGGAACTTGCAACATTCCTTCTACAATTGTAAGGATTACAGTGTCTTTTAGAAGAACATTTTGGTAGTAAGAGCTACTTGGAGCAAATACTAAGAGTCTAAGTAAGGCACATCACACTTAACTAAGCAAATTTGGGATATACTCTAGTTTCACAGTGACAGAAAAAAATGTTTGATTAACAGATGCACCAAATAACTGAGACAAACAAACACCCAAATATAAAAGCAAAGACATATCCTGGAGCGCAGAAGGGAAAAACTCATACATTATTGAAGGAGAGAAAAAAAATAAAAAGCTTTAAGGCATTTTCTGAAGCAAATACTAGACAGGGAAATATCCCTCCCATCACATGATTTCACCAAAACGTAGCATTCTACATTTCATCCCACTTACCACAATATTAGGGTCTTGCTGTAGAGAACAGAAATAAAACCTCACCCTCTTTTCTATTCAATAGCACCACCAAGTATATCACACAAATCATAGAGAAATACTCATATTTTCTTATCACCTAATATATTTTCCTATCACCTTTTAAATAGAAGTCTACTGTTTTTATATTTCTAGGACTGTCACCACAATGTTCAAACTCTAACACATGAAAACTCTTATTTAAGAAAGGTTTTGTGCACAAATATTTCTTACTGGTTTGTATAAATGGCCTGACTATCTCAAAAGTGCTCTCTAACAGATCATTCTGAAGTAATTAGGTTTCCATATGGCAAAACTGACTTTTGTTGACATAGTGTAGTATAACCACAGTCGCTTTGAAACAGCAGTGGCTGCAATTACTCCTATCAAGTATCATGAAAACAATTCCCCAGTCACACTCCTTTTACAATCTTGTTGACGTGCATGCATGTGGTTTAATGCAGGATGTGAAAGTGTGAGTGAAACATATGATGCAATGCTGGAAAAATGCTGTCAGGTTCACTTCTAAACCCAAAAGGGACTCTCTTACACCATGAAATCACATGGAAAAATGTGATTTTTGTCCTGCTTTTTCAAAACAAGGGTCCACAAATATACACCAAAACTCCATTTATTTGTAGCAGACTTAGGCTTGAGCAATATTGCTCTTTCAATGGATGATTTCACAACTTTTTGAACTGTCAGTCATGCCTGAATTCAAAAAAAGATGAGCAATTTTGCCTGCTAAGAGGATTAGTTAGCTAGGTACACATAGGAAAAATTTGCTTTTATTGCCTGATGACCTACGTTAACCAAAATGGGGGAAAAATTACACTATGCAGAGGGCAGTAGCTGACTGCAGTGGTGTCTCTTGTTTAGCCATTTTGTGTTAGATGAACATAAATTCATACTGAAATGTGATTAGATCAGCTAGACAGAACATGATTCTGTTTCAGAACTTTTTACAATTTTGCCTTTAACTTTGCTACTAGCCATGGAGCCATTATCTTCCTTCTTCAATTCTTCCTTTTTTTTTTGCCTTAGAAAAGCCTTCCTTCCCTCACAAAATCTGAATTACCTCTTTAATTATTAAGGACAGGGAATCCGAAAGAGAAGCTCTGCCACAATCTTCTCTGCAAAAAATGATTTTGTGCTCTCTTTCATTAATTTGCTAAACATAAGTGAACTGGGGCTCGTTGCTACAAGAACTTAGTCTTATTGAGCTGTTACTCACTGCAGAGTGACAATATCACTAGACCATCCTTGATGGTGCTGCTGTTCTTAATTCTTCATGAAGTCAAACATAAAATACTTCAGATCCCATTTATAAATCCTGAAAGTCGTGTCCCAGACATTCATTTCAGCAAAGGAAAATTGAGTTTACCTTAGAAAAAGGTAAACTGCTTTGTAAAATTCAGATTTCATGAAGAGCCATAAAGTACAGACAAGTACTTCTAAAGACTCAACATTCCATTAATGAAACTCTAATATCAACAAGGTAAAAAAATACCTCCTTGGCAAGGTGGGCCCAGTTTTATTTTTGCCCCCTACCCCATTTACTATGGAAGGGAACACTTTCCAAATATAACAAGTGAACCAACAGTCAAAAGAATATGCTAAATATATGTGCAAAATGGATAGAAGGAATTCTGAATATGGAAATACATACACAGAATTTAAAATTAAGCATTTCCCACTAGGAAAAAAAAAGACCCAGAAATATAAACCCATCAGCCTTCCCAAAGCTGCAAAATAAAAATTAAACCCAGGAAAACTGAAAATAGAAAAAACTGAACAGGGAAGTTTTGAAGGCTTAGGAGACACCAATAAAATTTGCCAAACTTTTCAAGACATGGAACCAGAAATGACTTCTAGATTAATGAAAAATAACATTGCATTTATGACAAAGAAAGCACCTCTAGGCAATTCACAAGTGGCAAAACACTGTCTTTTGGTGAAATTGGTGAAATTACATTGCCATATCAAGTCCTGTAGAGATAGATCATTTTAATGCAATAGCAGATTGGATTTTGAGTTTAAAGATCATGTGTGGACCAGATTTTTACCCTACGTAATCACTGCAGAGATCATCAAAAGCCAAAAATCACTCGTTATTAACTTCTTAGATTCTAAGAAAGCACTTGTGAATACTTTGGAATCCCTAACGGATTTACAATATGCCAATAAAAATAATTAACATCATCAAGGCTTTATCTACACACACAGGCTACAATGTTCAAATAAATACAGAACTAAGGGAATGGTTTAGCCATGGTATTAAGTGTCAGAGTAGAACACGTTGTCCCACGTGGCATTAGTTTTACCCTCTTAAGGGTAAGCATAGATGGAGAATAAGT